TGATGTAACCGTGTTTCGGCCACTAAAAACACAGTGGAAGACCTGTGTTAATGACTGGCAGTTCAAACATGATGGAAGGAGGATGAAGCGAGAAGAGTTTTCACCTCTTCTGAAAACAGTCTTGGACAGTTTGGATGCGAAGGTTGTAGTGAATGGGTTTAAGGCCACTGGTCTGGATACCCTTGACCCGGAAAAAGTTCACTACAACCTCATCCTCAAAAAAACTACTACACCTGCAAAGACAAATAATCTTAAAAGAAAGGCCGAAGAAATCCGAGCTCATCTGAGCTATTACGAGGTTAAGATGGGGCTTGAGAAAGTTCAGAAGTTTGCCCGCGGAGAAATTGAAGTTGAAGACCAGTCATTATTTCAAGTATGGAATTCCATCAAAAATGAGCTTACCACCCTAAAAAAAAGTGAAATTTCAGCGTCGGAGAAAGAAAACGAACGTCCATTTGACCCTTCTACAACTTCAACTCCGGACCCTAAACGGCCACCAGCCCTAACACCTGCTGAAGAAGAAATTGTGGACGACGTGCTGGACTTTCCAATCGACCTGGATGAAGACGGAATCATCGAGGGCCGGATAATTGCAGACGGCAACTCTTCCGTGGACGAACAGGGTCTGCAGAACATCATTGACAGCCTAGGATTTACCAACGCAGACCAAGGCATATCTATCGAGGTAGGTCCCGTTTAATAATTTGATTAAGTTACATTACACAGTAAATATAAGTAAAAAATGCAAGACTCATTTTAACATTTGTGCTGCAACTTAAAACAAATTAAGTAAAGTTAAGATATCCTACACGGTTGAAAACGGGGAGCAAATAAAGGTACCACCCCAACAACGTACCATCACAACAGCCTGACACCACACATTTATCCGATTTGGGGGTTGTCGTGGTGGCACGTTGTCGGGGCAGCACTTCATCACCAACATGCAAGGCAATGGTTGGTGGTCGCATCTTAACAGCAACCCTTAAATACCACTGTTAGAAATTCATATCAACCACCTGTGTTCATTATAGTGAAATATTTTTTATTATCCAAGTTATTATGGTTAACATGCCTATTGTTGCAGGTGTCTGTCACGGATATATTGGAGAGCATGCCTGAAAACAATGTTCCTGAGCAGCCTGATCCTGAATTGCTACGTGAACTCCCATCTGAGAACAACCAGCCATCATGCAGCCAAACAGAAACTACGAGCTCTGCAGGTAACTTAGAGGATTTATTCATTAGACATACTTTAGACCAACGCAACGAGGTGATTAAGTTAAACATTCATATCTTTCTATTATCAACTCATAGTATTTTGTTTTTTTACATTAAGATGCTTATTTGAAGTGTTATGTTTTTTCTTTTTGATTTAAGGAATGCCCCTACCAGGAACATACACCACTCCATCAAAATGCTGCACATCCAATAGTATGCCATCACCTTTTAAAAGGTGCCTGCAATATCCCTCCCCGACATCCATCAAGAAAAAAATCAAGAAAAGAGACCCAACACCAGCTGCGATTACGGGAGAAAGCTACAGACAGTACATGGAGGCAAGAGAAGCTAAGAAGAGAGAAAAGGAAGAAGAAAAGGAACGGCGGCAAATGATACGTGAAGTAAAGAGAACAATAAAACAAGAAGGAAATAACAATAAACGACCGACAACAGCACCCGATGACAGTGACAGTGACTCCCAGGATGAAGAAATTCCCATTGTAGCCCCCAAGGACCTTGAAAATCTTATGGTCAACAGCTGGGTCGTCGTCCCTTATGATGTGGAAGGGAAACAACAATATTTTCCTGGCCAAATAAAATCAATTAAAAACGACAAAGCCGGAATCAAATTTCTTCGTAGAAGAGGAAACAAATTTGTATGGCCTGATGAAGACGACTTCGACAATGATGTGCCTTTGACAGACATTGTCCAAATTTTAAGTGCACCCACTGTGGAAAGACGTGGTTTCTTTTCATTCAAAGAAAAAGTTATGACATATGTTTTTCTACTGAGACATTTTTTTACATAGTGTATAATTTGTATATAAGTGTATTTTTATTTTAAGTTTGTTGATTTTAATTTGGAAATAATTTTAAATTTCAACCGCTGTGGAGGGACGTGATTTCTTTGCATTCAAAGAAAAAGTTAAATGTTCTTAAGTTTCGTTCTCGTCAGTAGACATTTTTGCACATTGTGTATAATTTAATTTGTAAATAAGTGTATTTTTAATTCAAGTTTGCTGTATTTAATTTTCCAATAAAAACTGTCACTCAAACCAGTAACTTGCATTCCACTAAAATGAGTTTAATACTTTGCTTTTTCCCTTGGACTGTGCGTCGGTTGTTATAGTATATTTTGTTAAATCGACTGGGCAAAACACATAATCTTGGTGGCCGTGCCGTGGCCGTAGTAGTTAGTAGTTTGATACTACTGCGAGTTATTTCGTCGCTTACTGCTCATGTCGTCATCAGCTATCTTACTTTTTATACCAACGGCATTTAAAACTTAAATTCAAAGTGGTTCAATTTTTTTTTTTTTTTTTTTTTTTTTTTTTTTTTAAATAAAGAGGTTGGCGGCCTCTTTTAACCTTGCATTTGCCCGTCCACATAGACTAAGCGCCCGTGCGTGGATCGTTTACAGCAAAGCAAGGAGTGAGCCGGTACAGTACAAAGGTGAACTGTACTGATAAAATGTTATCGGCAGTGACCAGGATCCGAACCCACGACATCGCTGCCTTGGGCCCGAAGTCCGCGACGCTACCGACTGAGCCACCGACTCACTAAAGAATCCATTTAAAGAATCCAGTGTTTAGAGTGGAGACCAGACTCGTTCGGATTTGGGAAACCAGCGTTCAGATTTGGGACGTACGCCGTTCGGTATTGGGCTATTCATGGTTGAAACGTTCGGCACTTGTATTACGTTATTTTACAATATTTGAAAGGAGATACTTGTTGTTTGTGACATAAAATTTAATATTAGTTCATAATAAATCCTTGTAAAACAATTAATCAAGCCTGGATATAACCAAATAGGATAAAAATACAATAGAATGACCTAACCTCCTCTAACCGTTCGGAGTTTGGGCTGTTTACCTTATACAGTTTAGACCTACTAATTATATTTTGTTTGGTATCATTTTTATTTTTATAATATAGGCCTAAAGAGCTCAAAAATGATAAGGAAGTCAAAATAGAATTACAAATAAAAATATTAAGTAGGCCTAATTCCTATTGTTAAGTACAATAGGATATTTAACGGGGTGGAAATACGGACGGTCAGCTAATCCCCTGAGCCTGCGTGTGTGTGAGTGAACCTACCTGGAATCCATCGGCATTACGAATTTGCTAATAGCATAGGACTGTAATGTTAGGTTAGAAGAGTGTCAATTTGTAATAGTCCTACCTAAAATGTTTCCATAGGCCTTTGGTCAACTTAGGTAGGGTACTTGACATTTTTACCTGTTGAATTGTGGGTTGTTAATGTAACTTAGGCCTAGGCTTATATTTACTTTAACCCTCCGAGGGTCCATCGTCGAAAAATCGACGCGCTACACACTTTGTGTAGTGTTACGCGTCGATTTTTCGACGCACGAACATCGTTTACGGCGAAGGCTCTATGACTGACTGAATCGGATTGAACTGGATTGAGTTAGGTATCGTTCTTTCCATTATATTCTAAGCTTTCTCCAGAGGCCTGTCTCAGCGCTGTATGTTCTCCGAGCCGATCGTAATAGTAGCAGACAGCTGACGTGCGTATTCGTAAACAGCTTGGTTATCCTCGGACCGATGACTGATGTGTTTTATTACGTTTATCATTGTTTTAGTGTTAAAAATCAAAAGTAGTGATAGGCTATACGTGGTGCATTATAAGAAGATTTAAGTGATTTTGAAGGGCTGGTTGATGATCCTGAAGAAGTAGGTAGTGATATTGATGTAAATTATCAGCCAGATTCCTAGCTATGGTTAGGCTATGCATTCTTAGCTAAACGCTATGTACGGTACTGAAATCCGTTTTTCTCTCATAACTTATTTATTTGATAACTTACCTCACTATATGATTATATATTTGTAATCCTCATTAAATTTAGAACAAAGTGGCTATTTTCAAATATTTATACGGTAGGCCTATAATTTGTACAATTTCATTGAGCGCGAACTTATTTTTTTTTTCAATTTTTCCAAAATAATTCTTTTTTTACCTAAAAAAATTTTTTGAAACAAATATTCCTTATGTTTTATGTATGATATTGAAGCCCATGATTTTCCAAACAAAATGGTATATAGAACATTAGAATTAACATTGTTTTAAGCTTCTCAGATCCGTTTTAATAAAACCTTGCAAATGCGCCAAAAATAGGTGGACATTAAGGCCTAAACTATGGACACTTGGAGGGTTAAAATTATATAGGTATATCTAATCAATCAATAAGTTAAACGTTACTTGGGCTATTAACTTAAGGGAACTTAAATTTTAGAGTATAAATATTTAAGTGCAGATCAAAGTTTCTAATAGGCCTACAACATTAAAAAAATTAAATGATTCAAAATGATTGGTGTGTAATTATTGTCACAGCAAAAAAAATTTACACCATAGTTTGGCTGCACTTTACTCGACGTTCTACACTCATTCGAATGAAAATATCGATCGGTATATCGATTAATCGATTGCTTCATTCAATATATCGTTTGGTTAGTTAGGTAAGGTTAACCTAACCTAACTAACCAAACGATATATCGAATGAAACAATCGAATGAAAATATCGAATCGAAAAAAACAATCGAATGAGTGTAGGACGTCAAGTAAAGTGCAGCCCATAGTTTTCTGGTAAAAATCTAGTTTCTAACCTAATGATTATAAATTAGGTACTACAGGTTCCCATGAGCCCCTTAATATGCATATTTACCAAAGATTTTAACGAGCTTAGAACTAGGATAATTAAATTAGTTTAAAGGCCTACAATGTTTTAACACACAAGTTAGGGATGGACCTAACTTAGGCCTACCTTTATCAAGGAGCAAAATAAACATGCTCTAGCAGTTCTCAGGTCTTTTGGTATCATATCCATCGACATTTTTAAGTTGAAGAATTCAACGTTGATAAATACAATAGCTTGCTATCTGTAGAAATATAATGGACTATTGCTAAACCAAATGAAATCTGGTAAGACCAACAACATTCATGGATGTAAAACTGCCAATAAAATAAACACAGGAGCCCTTGCCGTCAGACCGTCACCGCCCTTTTTTTCGTCTGTCTACTAACGGGACGGGGACAGCGTAGGGATGAGCGATAAATCACATACTGTGATTTTGTCACCGATATTTTTAAGTCGCAGTCACAGTCTGTGACACGATATCAAAAGTAGCAGCTACCGGAGTCACAGTCTCTGTTCACCATTTGCAGTCGCAGTCGCAGCTTTTTAGTTCAAAATATCGTCTGTAGAAGCGCGAGCAGCGCTGTGACTGAGCGAGTCACAGTCTCTGTTCCCCAGCCCCAGCCGCAGTCGCAGTCACAGGCTTTTAGTTCAAAATATCGACTGTAGGAGCGCTGTGACTGGGCTGTATCCGCCGTCCTTGTAAGTGCTGCTCTCTGTCTGTATCCTTCGGATTTTGAGCGAACTACTGTACTTTGAGCGGGCTTTGCACCCTATCGCTGTTCGCTTTGTTTTGTTTACATTAGTTTCAGTTTCTGCGTTATTGAGAATCAGATTAATTATTACTAGTAAACACGTTGCTCGAAATCGAGCAATTGCAAAGAAGTAAATTAGTTATTTAAAAACAAATAAAAGTCATCATAATTTCCGATGAGTTTAAAAGACTTTGAATTGAAAAATAAATAACAGCAATTAAATTATACAGCTGATCAAAATGTAAACAATTATGTTCTTCATAAGGATAACATGGGAACTTTAACAGCCACTGGGGCAGAGCCCAAGGGACTTTTTCAAAAATGTAAGGTCAGTTTGCAAATCTACGCGACACGCTCTTTTCAATGAGACGCCAATGGATAAATTCGGTTAAGAAATGGCGGAGGAGTTCAACCGACAAAGTTTCATGTAGCGTATTAATTATATAGATACAATGAGTCTTAAAAGAAAAACCGGTGAGGTGTGGAATTACTTTTTGGTATTAGATGATTTCACGGCCAAATGCGACATTTGTAAGACAAAACTGTCTTACAAAACATCAGTAACGAATCTAAATCCTAATAAAGTCAGTGCCTTTCATTATAAACTGTGTTTTATGATTATCAGTCATTAAACATTTTACCATCCTTTCATTTAATCAATGCTTTTCTATAACTTTTTTTGCTATAATGACTTATCTTTGCTTATACTAGTAATAAATTAATAATTAAGTGATTGTAAATTTTATTTGTTGAAGGAAAATATAAAATATAGGTCAAAGCAGTCTTTCATCTTTCATCGTATTGAAAATGTATAAATACAATGATGTTTAAGAAACACTTATTTAAACATTTAAAAAATATATTATTACAAATAATATATAGCAAAAATGTTTACGCAAAGTAGAAGTATTTTATTTTATTATACACAATAAATGTATTATATTATATATTATTTTACCCACAATAAATTACTAGGAATTGAATCTGTTGCATCGTTACATATGCATATACAGGGTGTCCGGTCATAAGTGTTAAATAAAATTTTGTATCAAACTACATGGTAATGGCGACATAATGACGCACATTTGAGGTTCCAAACCTCAACCGTTAGGGAATAACAAATAAATTAAGATTTTTCAAAAATTATTGTAGTTGTTATGAAAAAGGTTGTATTACTCTGTTAAAAACGCAATAATTGTTAGTTTAAATGTCATTTTCAGAATCCTCACAAAATTTTTAATAGATATAACACATAATTTCTGGGGTACGGAAAAATTTTCTTCTTAAATTTCTTCGTTAAACAATTATTTTGAATACCAACGAAAATTTAAATAACATTCAGCGATTTATTTCTCGGTTACCGAGATCCGCTGAGTTTAACAAATATCACTAAAAACTTTCTCATTTAAAGGGCTTTCCAATGGTCTATAATAGTTTTTACCTTCGGTAAATTATGCAACTCGCTTCCGCTCGTTGCACAACATTCACCTGCGTGATGTAAAAACGCTCTTACTACACTTGTAAGGTAAATAGCTATTACAGCATTTCACAAATATTAGAACAGACTCAGTATAATAGATCATAATAAACATAAACAAATGGAGTAACTGATGAAATATAACATTAACATATGGTTTGACAGCTCCATTTAAGTAATGTTAAATAATGTTTACATTCGGGCTAGTGACATCATTATTTTAAATTTATAATCCTTACCCTCTCTGTTCTAATATTCGTGCAGTATTTAATATGTTTGAACCAGCTGTGTGGACTTGTGAAATCAAAACTCATTTGCCAGTTAGTTCTGCTTGTTTATATTTTTAAACTTTGTAGGTTTGTTCTTTGTTACCATGGATACCATCAATCAATATTTACTTTTAAATCTCTCACCTCAAATTGTTGAAAGCCCACTGGGCAGAGCCCTAGGACAATATCGAAGCGGGTATAGTTCTATATGTATCCTCGGAACTGTAGCTTCATGTGTGTGCAATTTGAGCCCAGTCGGTTCAGTAGTTTTTGCGTTATTGAGTAGCAGACACACACAAACACACACCATCTCATTTTTACTTTCTCCCCCTATACCATAGTATATGGAGAAAGTATTGTTTTCGTCAAAATTTTCGAGTTTGAGTTTTGAGTGAATATATTCGTTTTGGGTCCCCCTTGACCCAAAAAAGTGGTTTTCGAAGTGATGTCTGTGTGTGTGTGTGTGTGTGTGTGTCTGTGTGTCTGGATGTGTACAGAGCTAGAGACATAAAGTAAGTACCTGTGGTCCGATTTCGATGAAATTTGGTATGTAGGTTCTAATCCATGGTATCTCCAGGCGTTTTTTTCATTTTTTTGAAATTTTGATTTTTAATGGGGATTTTCCCATAAAAACCCAAAAAAAACCGGAAAAATCTAATTTTCTCAAAAATGGCCCGAACGATTTTGATAAAAATTTTGTATGTTGTAGCCCTTTAAATCCTGAACAAACTGGTGAAAATCCCATTTCTCTAAAAATTACGGTTCAAAAGTTATGGCAAATTATGTTATTTTTCCATAAAAAAAACCCCATTAAGTAACGAAAAATAGGATTTTAGAAAAAAATCCGGTTTTTATTCAACATAGTATGTTATGGTCCTTACAATTTTATAGTTTTTTCAATTTTTTAGAAATTTTGATTTTTAATGGGTATTTTCCCATAAATCCCCATAAAATAACGGAAAAATTAGATTTTCCCAAAAACGGCCCGAACGATTTTCATAAAAATTTAGTATGTTATGGTCCTTTATATGCTGAACAAAATGGTGCAAATCCCATTTGTGTAAAAATTACGGTTTAAAAGTTATTTTAAATTATGTTATTTTCCCATAAAACCCCATAAAATAACGGAAAAATCTGATTTTTCCAAAAATGGTTTGAACGATTTTGATAAAAATTTAGTATGTTATAGACCTTTAAATTCTGAACAAAATTGTACAAATCCCATTTCCGTATATTTACTTTCACTGCTTACACATGATAAAGGTTGTTGACAAACTTATGGGAGAAAGTATGTGTCAGAATGCTGATACCGTTTATTATATATTAGTATAGATAATACATTTTACCTAGGGTTGCTTTCAGAGAGGTGAAAGCCAGTTGAGCGGAACAAACGTGATTTGATATTTGTATAAGTAACTAAATGTAAAAAAGTCAATAGATTTATTTACTAATGCTGGTTTTATTGATTTACATTATAATAATTCAAATTTACCTCTTCCAGAAGTGCATTATGGTAGTTTTGACCAGGAAAATATTACAGTAGTTGGAATCTGATACTAACATCCAAAAAGGGCATTAAAGTATAAAAAAGAGAAAGGAAATTTATCATTCAAATTCAACTGTAGCCTACAACAAAAACATTGGACTTCATTTTTCACCCTTACAATTGGTTAAAATATTTAAGCATAAAAAACAGTAATTAAAAAACGAGTATTGTATAACAACAGGAGAGGAAATTTGACATTTAAATTCAACTGTGCAACATAAACATTGGTCTTCATTTCAACCCTTGCAATCGGTTAAACTCAGCTTTCTTTGCTGGAAATAATTTATGATTGTTAATACCACTTGATGGAGGACATGATTGTAATGTAACTAGAATGTAGAGGTCTTCTGCCATTATTAGGACGATTTAGCGACGGCATTTTAATACTCAATACTGGCCTTAATAATACCATTGGCCATTGGATACAGAAGATTTTGATAAAAAAAGCTGGCTACAAATTTAACATGGGGATGGAATGTCTAGTTGTATTGATGATATAGTCAAAGATAAAACATAGGCCTACGAAAAATGTAGGGCTATTTTAATGTAAGACTCAAATGTAAAACACCTTTAAAAGACTCAAATGAACTGAATTATCAGTCATGTATTTCAATGTGTAAAAACGTAAAAACTGCAAAAAGACTTACTTATTGAACAATAAAATAAGATGGCTGAAATGTAGGCCTAAACATAAGTAATAAGTAAATATCGCATTCAGCTGATTTAAGTGAAAACAGAATAATAATAAGTAGGGAAGACATGCCTTAAATATACAATGTAGATAATATAATTAAAAAATTAGAAGCCTACTTCTGGACAGGCCTAGACAATTATCCATACCGTGGTTAAAAGTGTACTTCTATAAGCCCAGGTTTACTTATTACGGTTGTAACTGGACGTATGTATAGTCCGTGGCTTGGCAATCAAATAACGGTATTTATATAGGATAGGCTACTACTGTTATCAACATTTGAAATTACTAAATTGTTACCAAATTACTGTTTCACAAAATGCAGATTCCATTTTCAGCCGAGCCATTAAAATGAGGATTTGCCGAACAATTATTAATATTACAGAATAGTATTTAATGATATACAACTTTTCACATTTCATAAATTATATGTTAGTTTTGCTATGGTCAAAAGGCCCAAATCCAAATGTTATTTTCATTTGGTTTTTATGTAGTAATTTTCTAGAATCATTAACTTTATATAAAGTCAATGCTAGAATACTGTAGATGGTTTGTTAAGACCATATGCAAGCATTTTTGAAATCGTTTCCCCGTTTAACCAACCATTCCAAAAGATAAAAATTATATGGTGCAACACAAATAAACAACCCGATCACCTACTTATAACCTACACTTTACCTTCCTAATCTAACCTTACTTCAAAACACTCAATGTAGTCACGAATAGGCTACTCATAAACCCCGACCTACCTTCCCCACATGCCTAAATTAGATCAGTGTCCAATCTGCGTTTTATCATAAATAAACATACTCCCTTAGTAGATTTCTCATCCTAATGGAACAGCTGAAGACAATTTTATTGTTAGTTCTGTACGGTTTATGTAGAGGTCGTGTTTTTTTTACAAATCGTTTCCCGTTCATACAGACATTTAAAACCTCGTTTAACCAAATAATACGATCTAATCATAAACAATAAATTGTCCCCTAGTTATTTAACCAAACAGTAAAGCACAAATCAAGAAATTAACCCTAAAATAATAGAAACAAAATTTCGTCGACACTAGCGCCTAGTGTGGCGTACATGAACTAGACATGAAAAACGAGCTTCAAAATTTATAATGGGATGAGAAGTCTACTTGTGTTGGTTAGTCTATGGTTTTATTTAAGTGTAATAACTTACTGCACCGTCGATGTAATTCAACATAATATAACCTGTGAGGTATTCGGTATTATCGGATTAAATATCGATTTCGATGCGGTTCGATATATCGCTTATTAAATCCTGATTTCTAACATTGGCTGTTTCTAATCAGCTGGCAACACATACATATAGGTTCCCAAGAAAGTAGTCACCGGTCCGTATCCCTCCGCTCCTTGTTTATGCTCCGCGCATTGAGAAAGTAGTTCCGTATATTTTCTCGATTTGCAGTGAATTCCGCGCCTAAAAAAATGTTTTAACGGTATTTTCTTATTTATTAAGATCATAGGAATTGTTTAAAAACGTTTAAAAGAAAAGTCTAGAAAGTTCAGAGATACCTTATGATTCTCTTGTTTACATTTCTTGTAAACAAAAAACCTGTCATGGCTACTTTAGTCACATAAGCCTAATGTTAAAAATTTGAAATTTTAAGTTCGTTTTAAATTGCATTAGCATTATCTAATTGAAATTTGTTTGTTTAAAAAAAAATCTTAAAATTAGTCTAAGTAATTTTGTTAAGTTTGACTGAAATGCGTTCAGCCGTTATTGAGTGATGTTTCTCTATGTGTTGCATTGAAGTTGATCCCAAAGAGCTTCGCTCGCTCCGCTCAATAATTTTTCCCCCAATTTTTATTTAATTTATATAAATGTCATCATATTTACTTATCGTTTAATTTAAAACAGATTGTAAATAAAACTTTGCAAAAAAAAATTATTTAATTATTTGTAATCATTAGGTAATAATCAACCATCAATTATAAATTAAATGAAATAGTAACAGCTGACACATTATTATTTTCTAAGTTAAAGTTCTTGCACTTCACATTTTTTTACTTGCCTTTTATTTTCATAATTTGAGTATTTACTTGAACAGAAGTGAATAAGCATGAGTATTTACTTGTACTTCTAAAAAGCCTTTCCAAGGAAGTATATACCCTCAGAAACCTATAAATTTGGTGTGAATAAACACCAGCAAATACTTGCCTAAAGAGTAAATACTTGTTTTTCAACTAGTTATCAGTAACCCATGCTTGTTTAAATTTACTTGTTGATAAATGCATGTAACACATTCAGTATAGTGTAATACACTTATTTAAATTATGTATGACTCTAGTGATTTCCGCAAAATAGTGCTTGGGTTGAAGATGGAACCTTTGTGGTATTCCTTCGTTATGTTCAAGCTATTTGTTAATGAAAATCCATCCACAAGTCTCAATAATGCAAAACCTTCACATTTTACATGTTTAAATGAAGGCCTTAGACCTTCAATAATATAATATATATATTTATCATATATAGCCTATAATATATATATACTTGTACTGTATAATGTTTACTTTAAAATGTAGTACATACTTGCAAGTACACCCTCATATCCGATAGGTCAGTGAGTATACCATCTCATTTAGGAAGTATTTACTTGCAAGTAAAGAGTCGCTTTTATTCACAAGAGATTACTTGAACGACTTGTATTCACTCGGCCCAGTGGTATGCTAGTGAAATCTTTTACTGAAATAAAAGTTTTTGAACTTGAACACACACACTGACATCCCAGATATTTTCACAGAGATACTGGTACCTACAAACTTAAACGTAGACCCATGCTGAGTAACTTGTGACACTGACAAACAAACAAAATAAACAAGTAGGCCTATAGAAAATTCACAATAAGATATTTCTCATTTAAAATAGCAAAATTGTTATGTTCATTTTGTTGTTACAGTTTCCAATATGAAGAAAATATGTTGTAAATAAATGTAAATATTATTTGTGTGTGTGAGTGTGTATCAATATATGTGTTAAATTGTTACATTTTAAGAAAAATTTATTTTGAAGACCAGGAATTTTAACACGAGGTATGTTACTAGTTTTAAAATGTTCACAGCTGAAAATAGGCCTAACTGTAAGCTATAATTTAGAACGACATGGAATTAAACTTTTTCTTTCTATACTTTTGTTATTTAAACAGTGTAAACAACAATTAATAATAGTTAGGATTTTTATGTAATTCATCTTTATTTGGACTTATATAGCTTTTTGTAATTTTTAATAATTATTCTAGAAATAATTTTCAATTAACATATTTAGACTTATATTTAACATTAAACGGCTACTGTACTTTGTTCCCGCGTAATTTAAAACAGGCTCGGTGATGACAGAAACGTGCGATCAGATGTTCAGTTCGGATTTCAATTCCGTTGTTCCGCTGTCCCGTTTCTAGACAGACGAAGGTGGGCGGTGACGGTCTGACGGCAAGGTCTCGTACTCGTGGTCTTTGACACTAAGTTAAGTTGTTGTTGTTGGTTGTTGTTTTGTTGCAATTGCAATTAGTTTACAACTTACAAGGTGAAGCTGAAGCTAGTAAGATTATGAATTTTGTTCCCAGGTTCGTATTTCGATTTCATCCCCAAATATGCAAAACGAGGGTTTTGAGTAACGCACTGTATTTGTCGAAACCAATGAGTTTTTCAACTAAATATGGGAAGCTGATAAATGATAATGTGTCAGGAGCATTTTATTTACCTATTGGAGATGGAACTGGTAAGCAAACAGCAGATATCTTATAGGGTAGGTAACTCAACTCAAAATACAGTACATTTAGTATTGTAATTACATATATTTCATCATACATTTTTAAGAACAAGGGGTTTATTCAGGTGATTTTCAAATTGCCGAATCAGAGTTAGCTAATAAGTTCACTTCCTTACTTGACTGATTGCAAACAAGTTAGAGGTACAGTTTCTTACCTGGGCTATGCTATGCTGGGCTGGGCTATTTATTGATTGAAACTAGGCTATTGATTTGATAAGTAAGTTAAACCATAATGTGATTTTTCACTATCAGCAAGTTTGGTTGGTTAGGTTAGGTTATGATAGTTTAATTTAACACGTTCGCGGTGGCACGTCAAATGGCGGGCGTTTCCCTAGTGCGGCGCAGCCCTCAGTGTCGAACAAACCTGATTGCCGCGTGTGATTGGCTTTCCAATTTCGGTCTGACAAATAGTAAATAACGTGCGAGGATGTCCTGCTTTACAACGAGAGTCGACGTAGTTCGCTAAACATCCACAGATAGCAGCACTGCTTGGAACGTAGCCGGTCCCATTGGAATTGTATTGCCAAATGGAGGGATAAAAACATGACACAAAGTCGATTTTGAGATTGCCAGACGGGGATTTTACGAGGAAATTTACTAGGTACCAACCTACAACACAACAAAATACAGTATATACTATTGAGCAGTGCTGTGCGAGGTTTCAAGTTTCTAGCTCTAATCCTGGCTTAAAAATAAATCATTTCGTACTGCTATGCAGCTTATGGGAGCTATCGCACCCACCAGGATGGCATTACCAGGATGGCGGCGATTGCTTCCATGCCGCAGCGAACGTGTTTTAATGATAGATATATTTAAAAATATCGATTCAATATTTTCAATCCGATAGTTTCAATCGATATTAGCATAGCCCAGTTAAGAAACTGTACCTCAAGTTAGCTCTGCTCTAGGCATACATCACCCAGGTCATTCACTAGCGTCTCAGTGGGCTAGTAAAGGAACAATCCGATATAAACAAACGAGGTAGGCCTAATTATAGATGAGGGTGACCAAGTGTTCTATAGTAAGTTATACAGACTGTCCCAAAAGTCCCGGACCGGTTTAATATTTTCTAAACGTCAACAGATAAATCAATAAGATTTTGCACATCAACACCACACTTAAAAATCTACTTTTTTAAGGGACTATCAATTTTCTGTCATATCTTGGGGACGTCCCGCAAGGAGTCAGAAGGAAATCTTAAATAGAAGCATAGGTTGACATGCACATCAAATTAAAGACCTTTACTAGTAAATTACAATGCCGTAAATTCAAGCTCAAAAGAACGCCTGAGTAAGAAATGGCAGCCGTTCAAAGATTTCTTGAACCAGCCATTTTGAATCTTTGAAGAACTGCCATTTTTTACTCAGGCGTTCTTTTGAGCTTGAATTTACGGCATTGTAATCTACTAGTGAAGACCTTTAATTTTATGTGCATATCGACCTATGCTTACGTTAACAATTTTTTCCCGATTCCTAGGGCTGTGCCCCCAAATGCAAATTAAATGAATCTTTGAACCACTGCCATTCTTGACTTGGTTGTCCGTTTGAGTTCAAATTTGCGGCATTATATTCTGCTAGTAAAGACCTTTAATTTTATGTACATGTCAACCTATGCTTCTATTTAAGATTTCCTTCTGACTCCTTGCGGGAGTTCCCCATGATGTGATAAAAAATTGATATTTCCTTAAAAAAGTATATTTTTAGGTGTGGTGTTGATGTACCAAATCTTATTGATTTATCTGTTGTCGTTTAGAAAATATTTAACCGGTCCGGGACTTTTGGGACAGTCTGTATATCATTAGAAACTAGATTTTTACCTGTTTCTAAAATTTAGGTAAAAATTTAGGACCCAGACCCCAGCTTAAAAACACTTTCTGAAGTGTAAACAGTTTATAAAATGAAGTTTTGGAGGATAATAATTGGGGGAAAAGCAATTCCAGTCCCAAATATTGACTGGAATTTAATGAAACCGACCCTAACAACAGTTCCTCCAAAACCTCAATATACACAAATTTTAGACAATTCCACACTTCAAGCATGTTGGATTCACTATATCGACGTGAAAAATTCACAAGGAATATGCACTCGACATATAATTTACTGCTGTCTCACTCAAAGATAACCAAAATCGGCACCCACGGCACCATGTCTTTGGTTTGCCAATAGCCAACCAGCAACTAGCCTACAACGAAAATTAAAATCAATTCGTCCAACAAATACATATTGAAAGGTATCCGCATATTTCACCACGAATCACCCCGTTTTCTAAATAATGTCCTAACGCAATTTTCCAACACAAACAGAATGAAAATTAATCACAAATTTGAGCTACGTCCTACTTTGTCACTACTTCACTTTGAACTAACAACAGGAGTCATGGAGACAGTTATAAACAAACAACTGACGAAGAAACCACCAGCCAATCAGAGAACTGCACGATTACGTATCACCACTCACCAGCTGTTTCACAATGGAGGTACTGAATTAAAAGTAAATATTAAATTTATGCTACCGGTAATGGTGGTAATTTTTTTTTAAAGAGGACATAGTTGAATAAGGCAATCAAAAAGCGTGCTACAAAAGTTAATAATAAAATCAAAATAAATAACACTTGATTGTACTCACGAAATTAATGCTGAAGAGGATAAAGCTGTCCAGCAGCTTTAAAAAAATGGTGCATCCTCTCCAGTGGTGGATAGCGTTGCTTGAATTGATATTCCGCCAAATAGCCGAAGAAGTGTTTTTTTAAATTCCATAACGAGGGATTGTGGCCCGAACCTCTCTCCAAACCCGCTCTATGTTATTTGTGTGGGCGCCGGTCTCTAGGTCCTTAACCCTTTCCACTCAGATTAACGGGAGGCCCATTTACTCACCAGCTCCATTTAATTTTAGCCAAATTTGCACACTTCATTTATTTGCCAAAAAAACAAATACTGTCTTTATTTGTAGAATGCTGGTAATTTTTTTCCTAATTCTGTATGAACCAAAGATCATATTTAGGATATAGAAACCAGTATATATATTTAAAAAATTTATTATACATTACTCATAAAAAAAAAATTTTTTTGGAGAAAATAAAAAAATTGGAATAACAAGATTTTTTACAATTTTTTTATAGAAATAAGAGTATAAAAGTGTTTTATTTACATTGTGTATGTCCTTATATATATATTGAAGTGATTTACATAGCTAAAAGACACAATTTTATGCGGAAAAAAATATATTGAAAAATATGAATTTTTGCTAAAAAAAAGTTTTTGTGAAAATATCAGTTTTTGTAGCGACTAATATCTTTTTAGGCAATATTAATTTTGCTGTTGCTTAGAAACCAAATATTTATGATGTAAAGAGAAAAAGTATTTTTTCTTCAAAACTGTATTAGCTGAAAAACATAAATAAAACAAGAACTAGGCCTAAATATTTTATCTCGCTTGTACGCTACTCCGCTTCAATCACAAACAAGAATAGGCCTAAAATAATAATAACATAAAATAAACACAAGTTATATAAGAATTTAAACAATGTTTTTGTCAAAGAACTAGACATACCTCATTACATCTTATAGTTTTTCAGGGTATGGTAGCGTTCAAAGCACTGCCCTGGGTGAAGGCCTGGTTTTCTTGCACATGTAGCACAGAAATACACGGTTTCTCTTCTCTGTCCAGCTTTCCTGTTGCTGCAAACAGCACAGTCCTTGCTGTTGCTTTTTTCATTGGCATAAATAAAATGAGGTTTTTTATCTAGCCTATCTTCTTGGTCAGCTGAAGAAGGACGACCTCGCTGTGAATAAGATTTGTTACGTACACCAGAAACAAGTTCAGTAATCAGCATTTCCCTAAATCTCTTCGAATCAATGGGAGTTTTCCCCTTATTCTGTAAGTCCATGTTGTATAGCAGGAGGCTGTTGACGACACATACTTCCATAAGCCAGAACCACAGTTTTCTCCACCACACTTTAGATTTCCGAACAAACATGTAGGACGAAATGTAATGGTCGGCAGTGTCGACTCCTCCCATTCTCTCGTTGTAATCGCATACAACAACTGGTTTGGACACAATTTCATCTTCTTTTCTTCCCTTCTCTCTTCTTTTTACTAATTGCATATCCGAGTTATGATACGAACTCATCATAATTACGTGTCTTTGGTCCCGCCACACCAACACCAAGACATTGTCTTTGTGACGGTAGGCTGCTGTCTCATGTTTCTTCAAAAGACCCTTTAGCCTTTTCTTATTTACATTACTGGGATTACCTTGACGATTTGAATTAACTGTACCAGTGAGATGCATTTTCATCTTTAGCAACTCTTGAGCTAATGACAAACTTGTATACAATCGGTCAGTATATATGTGGAAACCGCAATCTGGCCCACATACTTGCCTCACTCTTAGTGCCAACAGCAAAACAATTCTGGTAGTGAATTGCAGGTCAGGGTAAGGTAATATCTGCGATGTAGCTGAGCCATAGTATGGCTCAAACGTGAAAATGTATCCTGACCTGGCATCAGATACAACAAAAACCTTTAGACCCCATTTAATTGGTTTTTTGGGGTTGTATTGCTTGAAGTACACTTTTCCTTTGAACGAAATTGTACTTTCATCCATAGAAAGCTCATATGGAGGGACAAAGTATTCTGTAAACTTAGTCTGAAGGTAAGCAATTATATTTTTTAGCTTGTCCCCTCGTGATCGGGCTGCTGGTTGGGTACCACCAGTACTCGAACAGTGTAAAGTCCAAAATATTTGAAAAAATCTTGTTCTTGAAAATACACGGCTAAAGAATGGCTGATTATAAAGCCAATCTTGTGCAAAGTAGTCTTGCAGCGAGGGTTTAGTATTGAGTCCCATGTTTAGAACCACTCCGATGAATGCTCGTATCTCCTCTAACGTTACATCCGTCCACGAGTGCCAGATTGAATTTTTTTGCAACGGCCTCTTATTAGAAATGACAACCTTAGCATGTTTATTTGTCTCAGTAACAATAGTTTCTAAAAGTTCATCTGTCATAAACAATTGAAAAAACTGTAATGGGCTATTAGGTTTGTAGCCTATTGGGGGTTTGTAGCCAGATTCCAAAGTGTAAGGGAAGTGGGGGAAATCTTGGTCAGTATTTGTGTAAGTCCTATAGTTATGATCTTCATTAGGCTTGTTCTTGGTTTGGATAGGCCTAGGCCGAGCCTTTTTACCCTGTGTGCTAAGACTAGACTTCTTTTTGGTTTTTGAGACTTTAGTTTTTCTCGATCCACGCAAATGTCTACCTGTTGTAAGTTTGGTTGATTGTGAAGAAGGTCCTGATTCAGTACAAACTGGGATAGAGCTAGGTCTCGGTCTGTCAAGTTTTAGTCTTTTTGATTGACTCAAAATATTGGAACAGCTTGGTTCAGTAATTACAGGTAATTCGGTAGGCCCACCGATACTTACATTATGTATTCCCGGTATTTCATCTAATGTCCCAAAGTTTACATCATCTTGTTGAAAAAATTGATCATCAATAGGCCTATGTTCAACAGGCAAATCGGTACTTACATTATGTATTCCAGGTATGTCATCTAATGTCCCAAAGTTAACATCATCTTGAAGATAAAATGGATCAATATGTTCAATCGGCAAATCGGGATCACTATTATTATCACCATCTTCATCACTATTTTCGTCGTCGTCTAATTCTGGATCGGTTGGATCTGAACTGCTATTTGATAATAAATCGTCTTCAAATAACAAACCAGCTATATCAGAATCACTTATATTACTTGTTCCATCAGCAATTTTGCGATTTAGCAACGAATCATCGCCGTCTTCATCCATTTTATGGGCTTACGTAACAAGAACTAACTAACTCAAATCATAACAGTTCAGTCAAACACGAAAATAAACAACTAACTGAAAATATCTGATTGTATGTAAACAATAATAAAAAGTAAAAGTAAAGCACGCAATTCGATAATAACACTCCAACTACATACGGCAGTAAACAAACCAAGCAACATTTAGTAAACAGCTGCCGTGCAGTCAGTCAGCTGCCGCTACAGACAGCAGTTCAGTTAACGAGTGAAGACGACTGACATAAGCTCTAAGATTTAATATTGAGCATTGAATATTTGTTCAAACGGTTCTGAAAAAATTCCCCAGATGGCAGCAGATGTCAAACATCAACCCTAGCGGCGAAATAAATAACTACGTATGTCCAAATAAAAGTACAGTACGTTGTCATAGCGACGGCGGGCCTAGCCCGACATTAGAGTTCGTGCGGCCATGACGCACGGCGGGGCTCCCCCGCCGCTTGAGCGGAAAGGGTTAAAGTTGAGAGAGTGGTTCACTTTGAGATGATTGAACCCTTCCTGGGACAAACAATCATAGGCTTTCCAGCAGTCGCTGACGATGGTTGTCCCAGGATGGATCCACTCTCGTATTAACGCCAGTAGTGTAGCAGAGTCTCATGTTTCGACAGGAACGAGGAAAGTCTTTTTCGTTTCCATGTCGATCCCCCCGAACACCCACTGACCCTCGATGGCACGTCCACTATTAAATTTTCGTTTCCCGAACTTAGCTTCATCAATTTGAACGATTGCCAGCGGTCCTCCTATCTTTTCGGAGCGATCTACCATGTGGTTAATGTAAACCTCTCTCGTGAACGAGTACCAATCAACGATGGTTGCGCTCGATAGTCCCATTTCACGAATATAAAGTCCTGACGAGGTGGTCTTAGATGGGGAAGGGTTGAACATAGCAAAAAAATCTGCTCATCAGATAATTTGCTCTTCTCCAAAAAAGAGTTAAACTTAAGTTTTAAACCAACCAAACCAACCAAACATGCTGTATGATTTCCAGAGGAAAGAATAATGGTTTATTATGAAATGAAACTGTTCTAAACTAACCAAACCAACCAAACTTGCTGTATGAGTTCATGAGAAAAAAATAATTGTTAATTATGAAATGAAACTGTTCTAAACTAACCAAACCAACCAAACTTGCTGTATGAGTTCATGAGAAAAAAAATAATTGTTAATTATGAAATGAAACTGTTCTAAACTAACCAAACCAAACATGCTGTATGATTTCCAGAGGAAAGAATAATTTTTCATTATAAAATGAAACTGTTCTAAACTAACTAAACTAACCAAACTTGCTGTATGATTTCAAGAGGAAAGAATAATGGTTTATTATGAAATGAAACCAGTGGCGGTTCCAAGGGGGGGGGGGGCTACAGGGGCTAAAGCTCCCCCCCTTGGACCCTGGAAAAATAAATTTAAACATACATTTTGTCCTTAACACAATGTCATAAAATGGACATCAATGTAGTTTTTATTAAACTTAATAAGCGATGACAGGAGTAGTATTAAGTTCCACATAGATAAACTTTGTGGACAATATAGCACAGCTAATAAAACAATATTACAATTTTTACAGCAGTCAGCTGTTGCGAGGACGGGGAAACAGCTGATTTCCTGATGTTCCATAGTTAGTTGTCAAATTGTCTGCTAGCTAACTAACTTTACATGGGCATCAATCAGCAATCTCAGCGGCAGCACCAGTATAGTCTATTACCATTGAATATACAAACACTAGTGTTAAAGTTTATATAGTCAATGCTATTACTGAATTCGATACTATACAATTGTGACAGATCTATGAAATGGAGAAAAACGTATAAGGTTAAAAAAGTGTCTACTTGCTTTCATATATAACAGGTGAAATGGATGGTTTTAGGACAATTGGGCATAGTTCTAGACGTTAGAAATGGCTTTATAAAGTCACCAAACTGCTTTTAGGTGATATGGCTTCGTAATCTACAATAGGCCTATGTTTTGAAATTCATGAACGCAAGTTCACCATAGTTTGATTTTTAAAATGTCTACTTGCTCATGACAAAGACAAAAATAACAGGTGAAATGGGAGGTTTTAGGACAGTTGGACACAGATATAGACATTAATAATGGCTTTAGAAAGTTAGTAAACAGCTTTTAGGGAAATATGGCCGTAGCCTACAATATGTTTTGAGATTTATAAATGCAATCGTCATAGTTAGTTTTAAAGATTTCTACTTATTCATGACAAATAAATGGTGAAACCGGAGGTTTTGCACACAGTTCTAGGCGTTCAAACTGGTTGTAGAAAGTCACCCAACGGCTTTTAGGAGGATATGGCCGTAGTCTACAGTGTGTTTTGAAATTCATGAATGCAAACGTCATAGTTTAATTTATTTTTAAATGTCTATTTTCTCATGACAAACAACAAGTGAAATGGGAGTTTATGGACGATTGGGCACGGTTTTAGGTGTTAAAAATGGCTTTAAACAACCACCAAACGGCTTAGAAAATTCTCGGACCCCCCTGCTTTGTTGTGGGGTGCTCCACACCCCCCAAGCCCCCCGGTAGCCCCCCCATTGACGAGGTCCTAGAACCGCCACTGAATGAAACTGTTTTAAACTAACCAAACCAACCAAACATGCTGTATGATTTCCAAAGGAAAGAATAATGGTTTATTATGAAATGAAACTGTTCTAAACTAACCAAACCAACCAAACTTGCTGTATGAGTTCATGAGAAAAAAATAATTGTTAATTATGAAATGAAACTGTTCTAAACTAACCAAACCAACCAAGATTGCTGTATGAGTTCATGAGAAAAAAATAATTGTTAATTATGAAATGAAACTGTTCTAAACTAACCAAACCAACCAAACTTGCTGTATGATTTCCAAAGGAAAGAATAATGGTTTATTATGAAATGAAACTGTTCTAAACTAACCAAACCAACCAAACTTGCTGTATGATTTCATGAGGAAAAAATTATTGTTCATTATGAAATGAAACTGTTCTAAACTAACCAAACCAACCAAACTTGTTGTATGATTTCATAAATCGGTTTTATAAGAGAACTCGTTACCAGATATACGACCAAACATTAAAGTACAAACCATGAAACTAAATAACAAAAAAATAAATAACCCTATGAATAAATCAGATTCTTTAGATACCAGCGCACCCAGTGTCACCAACATGAACTACTGTAAACACGATAAACGAGTTACAACTTGGGTTGGTTAATTCCATAGATATGTTTATTTATCTATTAATTCCATACTCATTGAGGAGTTTGTTTTCTCTATGTATTCGTAACATATGTCTGCAGAAATATCGATATAGATTCGGTTCGATATATCGTGTCTAAATATTTTTATTTTTCATGGAAATAGGTTATGATCTGTTTATGTTTATGTTAATGAACTTGAATAAATATAAAACTATCAATATTCAAACAAAAGAAGACTGAAAACTTAACTTCACGTTTTTAGAG